CGGTTTAGTGACCTCTGTTTCCCAGGCCCCCCACCCCCGACCTCCCACCGAAGTGACAAGTAATCCCCACTGTGGGGAGACCCCAGGACTCTGGTCCCTCGAGCATCCAGGTCCAGGCCCCCCGGCTCCTGAGCGAGGAGCCCTCAGTCCCTCGTCTCAGGAAGACCTCAGTGCTGCCTCCACACCCCTCCTCCCCACCCCCAGCACCTTGACCAGCGTGGTAAATGGCTGCTTGTCTCTCCGCCCCGGGTAGAGCCAGGACAGGTCCAGCCCGTCAAAGCCATGGGCTCGCAGAAAGGCCGGCACCGACTTGATGAAAGTTCTACGGCTCTGGGCGTTGGAGGCTATTTTGGAAAATCTAGGACAGAAACCACCTAGTAGTGACCGCTGGCAGACTGGGTGCCGGGCCCTCTGGGCACGAAACAGGGCAGCCTGGAGCCCAGGCCTCCGGGAGGGCGCTGGTTTCCATGCCCGTCTCCATCACGGACGGAGCAAGTCCCTTCGGGCAGATACATCCCGAGTCTCAGTTTCCTCACCTGTGAAGGGGGATAAACAGTGCTGTCATGAGGACTCCTTGAAGCGATGGCTGGGAAGGAGCTACATGGCCACACTTGGGCTCAACCCTGCCCTCACTCGGACTGTTCGTTGGGGTTTCTACTCCCACATGGGTCCACTCTTGCTCTCTGCACCTTCCAGCAGTCAGGGCCTGGCCCCAGGGCCGAGAGGGAAGAGCAGCATGGGGGGGGGGGGCAGAAAGAGCCCCTGCCAGCTTGCCGTGACTCCTGGCAAGGCCCCTCTCTCTGGACTCTGGTTTCTTGGCCTGGCAGAACACCACCCCTGAAGCAGCAGGCCAGAGCCCTGTGGCCCCACAGTGGCAGGAGCAACCTGCTTCTCCTCACCCCATCCCACAGCCCCTGGACTCGTGCCCTGGCGAATGAGCTCTACCTTTCAGAGCCAAAGCTCCATCCTCCAACCGACAGGAGGGTCTTCAGGTTGGGGTTCCTGGGAGGCAGGAGGACAGGGTTGGGTGAAGCTGTCGTGGCACGAGGTAGCCGTAGCAGGTGATCAGCTTTGGTGGGAAGCTGGGTTAGTTCTGTGAGGCCCTTGTAACCACAAGGCCCAGTGCCAACAGGATACAGACCTGTGGCCATTACTCCAAGGAATGGCCCATTTTGTCCCCTTCTTCAGGATAGCCAGTATGTGACACAAGAGAATAGTAGACAATTTCCATGCTTCCTGAAGAGGAGCCATGAGGGAGGGGGGGACAGAGTGGGCTCCCCTATACCCGGCAAGCACAGTTGGGCCTTTTATGGACTATTATAGATCTGAATCTTGCTCACACTTGCTCACACCTGCTCCCCACCCCGACTTAAGCGAGGATCTTGCTTCATAGTGACCCTCGCTACAGTGACCTACAGTGGTCAAGGGAACCCTCCCCCACCCCCCTGAGCTCAGGGGCTTGCCCTGCAGCCCTTCCACCCCACCTGACCTCTGTCCTTACGGGGCTGGCCAGCCAGGGGCCCCACCTGTTCCTGAGCGCGTTCAGCGTGCTGTAGAGCGTCACATCATCCCACTCCCAGGTGTCGAGCTCGTTGTTACTGATATTGGCAAAGCTGTAGATGACGTGGGTACAGAGGAAGGGGTCGACGGCGTCTGGGAAGCAGCTCCCCTCGCCCTTCCTGTACTGGGCCCAGCTGGTGTAGTAGCAGACCAGCTTGTAGGTGGAGCCTGCAGGAGCAGCCTGGGCTGCGGCCTGGGCCAGCACTGCAGAGGCAGACAGTGGCAGGCAGCGTCAGGGTCCCGGTGAAGGGCTGGTGCAGGCCCAGCTCCCTCTGGGAAGTCCCTACTGATGGACTAAACAGGAGAGGAATATGCTGTCGAAGGACAACAGGCACCGCTGGGTGAGGGCAGGGGCTGGTGAGTGCAGGTGAAATGGGACTCAGTGAAAGCAAGGAAGGCTTCCTGGAGATGGCGGCTTTGGGGAGATGGACCAGTCCCAAGGCGGTCAGTGTCAGAAGACGCTGGCCAGAGGGCTGTAGAATCTGTGTGGGGTCATTGATCTGAGAGGCTCCGGCCAGTCTTTCTGCCCCAACTTGTAACCAGCCCCCAGGTCCCTGAGGTAGCCCCAAGTTAGGGCACAATCACCAAAGGCCAGGGAGCTCTTCTTTCCCGATCATTTTAATTCCTGCCACAAAGTAGGACCTTCCTGCCCTCTTGGTGATGGAGAAAGAGCAGGAAGCACATTTTGAAAGATTTCCAATATACAGAAAAGCAGAGAACAAAATAATGGACCTCAGGACACTCCTCAGCTCTGTCTAGCAAGTGTTAGCATTTCAGAGGCATTCGAGTGGCAGACCTCTGCCCAGACTTCCTCCATGCCACCCCTCACTGTGCCATGGCTCCCCGACTTAAAAGAGGGGTTACTTACAGCTCTGGAACAACACCAGGACCGCAAATCCTGCAGGAAAACCCAGGATGAGCCGCCCCCTCCCCAGCAAGTAATTCTGCCCTCCTGGACCCCCCTCCCCCGCCAAGCCATGAAGAGGTTACTCCAGCCTCCCAGCTCTCCTCCCTCTCTGCTCCTCTCCCCAAGCAGGAAGCAGTAGGAGGCCTGACACCCCTCTCTCCAGTGGCCCTGTGGGCGGTGGGAGCTTGACCTGGACACCTGTGTCCCTGACCATCGTGGCCTCTCAGAGACCTCGGCGCCATGGCTGACGGGGCCCCCAGCTCCAGGTGTTCGTTGCCTCTTCCCAGACTCTCCTTCCTTTTGTACCTGTTGCACCCCACACCCTCTTACTCCCATTTCTGGAACTGAGCTGTGTGTCAGGGAGCGGCTGGACTGGACTAGACACGTGGGGGAGGAGCACTGAGGGCCCTGGGAAGGATTGAGAAAGTCTGGAAAGTTTTGAAAATGTGGGTCAGGTCTTCAAAGTCACCTGTTAGCAGGACAGCCTTCTGGGAAGAGATCTGTGGGCTCCGGGGTGAGTGACTCACCCCCTTTCAAAAGACCTTCCTCCCTAGCCTCGGTAGCCCTCGCCACATGCTTTTCTTGCCAGCAGCTTCCCGGCTTTTCTGGCTTTGGCCAGGTGGAAATGGGGTACAGCTGAGTCCTACAACCCACAGTGCCACCCAACGAGGCCACTCGCCCCTAAAAGCTTCTCCCTCTAAGTGTTTCTCACAGCCTGACTCAGAGTCAGGGGAGGGCTGGGGCTTGCAGTAATTGCTGTGCTAATTATTTAAAAGAAGTCAGACAGGAGTGGGAAATTCCCAGAAGCCCTGCTGCTTTCCTTTCGAAATGGGTTAAAGCAAGTGAGAAAGGCTCTGTCCCAGCCTAGGGCCCAGGTGGGGGCGGCTGGGGGGTTCCCCAGGAGCAAACACAGAGCCTCTTCATTTCCCCCAGGAGCGAATGACCCCTGGCCTTTGCAACGGAGAGGACACCACCCCCTAAGTCCTCCCACGGCCTCTCATCACTGTGAGGATAAGAACAAAACTCCCAAAGAACAAACGAGGCCCTGCATGGGCCTCCCGGGTTGCGTAGAGCTGGCCAAAGATCCATGGCAACGCCACTTCAGGCTGCAGATTAATGAACAGGCAGTGAGTGAAGCCGTCAGTGCTCCGAGAGCCAGAGTGGGTCGGAGGCTTCGCCACAGAGCTCCTTTATTTTCACAATAACATTAGGTAAGAATCCAAAGTTATTGTAAAAATAAAGGAGCTTTTTGCCAGCCTTCTTGCTGTTGTCGAAGCCTCTCTGGGTGAAGTTTCTCTCTCCTCCCTCCCCCGACCGCTCCCGGCTACAAACTGAAATAACTCTTTATTATTATAAGAGGAGTCTGCAGAAAGGTGGCTTGTCCACAGTCATATTCTAAGGGCTAACGGGCCAGTTGCTTTTTTTTTTTTTTAAAGATTTATTTATTTATGCATATAGACTGGGGTACAGGCCAGAGATGAGGGGGCGATGAGAGGATTCACCCGAGACAGAGCAAGGAGCAGAACAGGCAGATCGACGAAGTACACTGCTGAGGGGAGCAGCGGGAGGGCCAGGAGAGGTCTGCCACGCCATGTGGTCACCTTCTGGGCAGGCGGGAATCGAACTCATGCGGAAGCGGCTTTAGCTTCTCAGTGCTGTGCTTTAACCCACTGCGCCACCAGGGAGGGCCCACGGGCCAGTTGCTTTTAAGCCACGGCCTGCTTTTGCACCCCAAGTGGCTGACAGTAGTGAGAGGCATGATAACTTCTGTGGGGGCTGGAAATGGACTCCCTTCAAGCTCTCCTAGAGATATTACAAAGCAGCGCCACTGCAGACATTTTCATAACTGAGTGCAGCATGTGAGGAAAACCCTTCCACTTTCCCTTTCTTTCTTTGTTAAAAGTTATCTCTTGGGGGGACCTCCCTGGTGGCCTAGGGGTTAAATCTCAGTGCTGTCACTGCATGGCCCAATTGCAATCCCCAGTCAGGGGCTGACCCACATTCGGCTCAGCAGACCTCCTGTCTCTCCCATTGCTCCCCTTATTAAATATGCCTGTTCTGCTCCCAGCTGTGTCTCTGGTGAATCCTCTCACCCATGTGCACCCACGCACCCCCACCCCAGGCCTCTGCACAACAACCCAGTTCTTCTATGCAAAAAAAAAAACAAAAAAGTTACCTCTTAGGCTTGGGTTGGCTCAGCCTTCTTGTCCTGTGCTCTCCAGCGCAGCTTATTAATTCCACATGTTCTACCTCAAGGTGACACTGTCATGATAAATGGCCTCAGTGGAACAGTTCAAGGGTCCCAGGGCGCGCCACGTCTCAGTCTCATCTCACACCACAGCCCTTTCCTCCACCCCACACACACATGCCTTCTCCTAGTCCTTATATTTGTTCTACTCTCTCCCACAACAGGACCTTTGCACATGCCATGCACATGTCTGTCTGTCCTTATGAAGGGCCTGAGAGTTCATGCTACTTGCAAATTCATGAGCTAGACATCCAGTTTCATGGAGGGTAGCAGAAGACACGAGAATTCCAGGTCAAAGACACGGGACGTATGGATGGCACAATTCCATGTCAGGAATTGTATCACTTCTCCGGGCCCCAAGTCCCAGGGGGTGCTGTTGGGGTGCTGTACACATGGTAGGTTGCACTCCAGCAGAGCAACTCTGACTTAAGGAACCCACATCTTTTCTAGGGAGCAGTAAGCCTGCTTCTCCTTAGTCCTGGAGAGAGTCATTGTGTTATTGGACAGCAAAGAATTTTGCCCTAGAGGGAAATGCTGTTTCTCTAGTCCAAGGCTGCCTCTACAAACACCACTGAATAGGGATGCTGGAAGCAGGACAGCCAAGGCTGCAGCACATGAGCTGGCAGACCGCAAGGGAGCTGTGGGCACTGCCCTGGCGCTGCCCATCTTCAGCACTTCAGTCCTGCTTTCCTTCGAGTTGCCACTCAGCGTGCACCTTCGGGAAGGCCGAGGCCTCCAGTGAAGGAAAACCCCTCGGAGCTGCCCCAGGACTTTGTACCTCTCTCCTAGTGCCCGGCTAGGGGCTTTTACATTGGCGCGCTGCTGTAGCTGTCTTGTTAGTGTCTGTGAACCGGCTATGAACTTGGTAAAGGCACGGCCTGGGTAGGTTTTCTTCACTTTTATATCCATCTCCAATAGTTGAGACATAGTAGATGCTTAGTAAAGAACTCATTTTGGGCCCTCCCTGGTGGCACGGGGGTTAAAGCGCAGCACTATGAAGCAATTTGCAGCCACTGCAGCCTGAGTTCAATCCCCGGCCAGGGAGGTGACCCACGTGGCACAGCAGACCTCTCCTGTCTCACCATTGCTCCCCTCAGCAGTGTATTTCAGTAGATCTGCCTGTTCTGCTCCCCACTCTGTCTCTGGTGAATCCTCTCACCCCCTGCACCTCTGGCCTGTACCCCAGCTCTTATATGCATAAATAAATAAAAACAAAAACAAAAAGACCTCATTGAATGACTCAGTAAATGAATGGATGATCTCAAAATGGCACATAACTCTTCCGTGATGAGTGTGAATCTGATAGTCTTTAAATTTCATTTCACTCAATAATTCTTGTCACTTTATGAATAAACACTTGTGAGGTACCAAACAGTATCCTCACTTCATTTCCCTAAGTCAATCTTTCTAAGCCCCACGCAGCCCTTGTCATTCATGTTTTCATCAGCCAGTGTGTATTTCACCCCGTGGGTGACAGGGATAAAAGCAGTTCCTGTCCTCATAAAGTATCTTTTCTGGTAGATGGACAGAAAGAATCACATAAAGGACCCTCCCTGGTGGTGCAACGGGTTAAAGCACAGCACAATGAAGCTCTCCGCAGCCACTGCAGCATGAGTTTGATCCCCAGCCAGGGAGGTGACCCCATGGCTCAGCAGACCCCTCCTGTCTCACCCGCTGCTCCCCTCAGCAGTGTGTTTCTGTAAACCCGCCTGTTCTGTTCCCCACTCTGTCTCTGATGAATCCTCTCAGAGTACCCCCACCCCAGGCACTCTGGCAGTTCTTGTATGCATAAATAATTTTTTTTTTAAGAATCACATAATTCTTAAAATGGTGAAAAACTCACCAAAGAAATTCTGAAGATTAGGGGAATTCATGATGGGGTGTGAAAGTCAAGGGAGGTTTCCTTAGGGAACAATGTGTGATCTGAGGTGGGAAGGTGAGGGCCTGGCAGATGAACTTGTGAGGCAAGAAAACAACGAGCCCCTGGATGAGAGGCTACCTAGTTCCAGAAATTGGAAAAATAAAAGAGCAGTGGAGTCTGGGTGGGGTGGTAAGGGGCCTCTGGATCGAGACCTGCTTCTCAAGGGCCAAGTCCCTGGGTCCCTGGGGTAAGCTCTGCCACGAAAGTTTTGAGGATCTCGCCCTTTCCCCATGATATCAGAGCAAGCAGGGGTGATACTAACTTCTCACCCAATATTTGGGAGAGTTCCCTTCCTCCAGGTGGTAGAATGGTGGAGTGAGAGCCAGTTCATCGCCACGCCTCCAGGGGGCGCAGTGCTGGTGTTGGTGCTAAGAGACTCAGAGGCAGAAAGATTTAGGGAGAATCACTGACCTGCATACAAGAATTCAGACTTCACCACAAAGATGGGTTCATCACATAGACGAAGCAAGTTTTTAAAGGGAAATAAGAATGATCCAGGCTACCAAGTTCATGGTGGAAGTCAGTGGCGTTTCCACCCGTTCACCGTTACTCACAATTTTTTCTAACAGTGAAAACCAGGGGTAAAATTGTTCTCACCAGAGTTCATATTTATAAGATATAATCAAGGCTGATTATTTTGGAGTCCCGAACCAGCTAGATTTGTTGTTTCTGTTTTAACTGTAGGTGTAAAATGCACCCCTCCAGTGGTGCTTATGTTTAAAAAGCAGATTTTTAAAAAAGAAGAAAAAAACAGTATATATTTTTTCTTGTTGATATGTTCCTGCCATTAAGAAAGCAACTTTCTGTAGCATCATTGAATTGATATTTTGTTTCACTTGACTAAAATTTGCTTTTAGGGGTAAGAGGTATTGATGAATACACAAACACTTTCTCTTTGAAGGGCTGAGGAAGCTGGAACAAAGTGATATTGAGACTTAACCATGATGTTCTCTCTAGAGCATTGTGAAATTTCTAGGGTTGTTTTATTTATATATGTCAGAAGAATTTTTACTATACTTATACAATCTATTTTCTCTATGTGTTT